GCAGGCCACACCCCAGGGAAGGGCATGACTTGATTAAGGGTGGGACTTGTGTCATGCCCTCCTACAAGGCTGTGACTCAAGACATACCCCACGCTAATCAGCCTCAATAACATATAGAGGTTAGAATTTAAAACACATAAAATGGAGGATAATTACATCAGATCACAAAATGGAGGACAGCCACACAATACTGAGAATCATGGCCTAGCCAAACCAACACATAACCCCAACCATCACAAGTTCCATACACCTTATTTGCATAGTCCCAGTCAATCGTTGTGTGTGGGTCACAAAGACCATGGCTAGAAGAGCCATATTAAGTGATTCATTGCCCCGCAGTCACAAAAGGACATTGTATGATCCCACAAATATGAAATGAAACAGGCAAATATATAGAGACTGAAGTTTATTCATGGTTACCAGGGGTGGGGGGACGGAAAGGGGGAATTGTAGCTTTTGATACAGTGAGTTTCTGTTAATGGTGGTGGAATAATTTGGAAATGAATAATGGTGATGGTTGCACAACATGATGAACATGAACAATGTCATTAAATTGTATACTTAACAACAGTTAAAATGGCAAATGTTTTGTTACATTCATTTTTACCACAATGAAACAATTTTTTAAAACCCACTGGTCTGAGTATCATTACATTAAAGGAGACATAAAATAGTTTTAAAAGAACCCCCCTTTGCTACACCTCTTTGCCAGAACAATAATTATTTTCTACCTTGTATTTCATCAAGATAAACGGAGAAAACCACCACACGTTGGTCAGTTTGTCATACTGTGGTGGCTTGTGTTGCTGTGATACTGGAAGCTTTGCCCCCAGTATTTCAAATACCAGCAGGGTCACCCTTGGTGGACAGGTTTCACTGGAGCTTCCAGACTAAGACAGACTGGAAGAAGGACTTGGCAGTCTACTTCTGACAAAGTTGGCTGGTGAAAACCTTATGAATACCAGCAGAACATTGTCTGATATAGTGCCGGAAGATGAGGCCCCCAGGTTGGAAGGCACTCAAAAGACGACTGGGGAAGAGCTGCCTCCTCAAAGTAGAGTTGACCTTAATGACGTGGATGGAGTCAAGCTTTCGGGACCTTCATTTGCTGATGTGGCATGACTCAAAATGAGAAGAAACAGCTGCAAACATCCATTAATAATTGGAACATGGAACATACAAAGTATGAATCTAAGAAAATTGGAAGTCGTCAAAAATTAAATGGAATTCATAAAGATCAATATCCTAGGCATTAGTGAGCTGAAATGGACTGGTATTGGCCATTTTGAATCAGACAGTCATATGGTCTGCTGTGCTGGGAATGACAGATTGAAGAGGAATGGCATCACATTCATGTCAAAAAGAACGTTTGAAGATCTATCCTGAAGTACAAAGCTGTCAGTGATAAGATAATATCCATACACCTACACGGAAGACCAGTTAATATGACTGTTACTCAAATATACACACCAACCACTAATGCCAAAGTTTAGGAAACTGAAAATTTTTTACCAACTTCTGCAGTCTGAAATTGATCAGACATGCAGTCAAGATGCATTGACAATTACTGGCGAATGGAATGTGAAAGTCAGAAACAAAGAAGAAGGATTAGTAGTTGGAAAATATGGCCTTGGTTATAGAAGTGACGCCGGAGATCGCATGATAGAATTTTTTAAGACCAGTGTCTTATTCGTTGCAAATAACCTTTTTTTAACAAATGTAAACGGCAACTATACATGTGGAGGAAACCCTGGTGGTGTAGTGGTTAAGAACTACATCTGCTAACCAAAAGGTCAACAGTTCGAATCCACCAGGCGCTCCTTGGAAACCCTATGGGGCAGTTCTACTCTGTCCTGTAGGGTCGCTATGAGTCGGAATCAATTCAACGGCAGTGGTTTTTTGTATTTTGGTATGCATGTGGACCTCACCTGATGGGAGACACAGGAATCAAATCGATTACATTTATGGAAAAAGACGATGCAAAAGCTCAGTATCTGTCAGAACAAGGCCAGGCGTCCGACTGCAGAACAGACCATCATATGCAAGTTCAAGCTGAAGAAAATTAAAACAAGTCCATGATAGCCAAAATATGAGCTTTAGTATATCCCACCTGAATTTGGAGACCATCTCAAGAATAGGTTTGACGCATTCAACACTAATGACTAAAGACCAGACGAGTTGTGGGATGACATCAAGGACATCATACGTGAAGAAAGCAAGAAGTCCTTAAAAAGACAGAAAAAGAAGACCAAAATGGATGCAGAAGGCTCTGAAACTTGCTCTTGAACATAGAGTAGCTAAAGCAGATGGAAGAAATGAAGTAAAAGAGCTAAACAGAAGATTTTAAAGGGCAGCTCAGAAAGACAAAGTAAAATATTATAATGAAATCTGCAAAGATCTGGAGTTGGAAAACCAGAAGGGAAGAACACTCTCCTTGGCATTTCTCAAGCTGAAAGAACTGAGGTAAAAATTCAGGCCTCAAGTTGAAATTTTAAAGGATCCTATGGACAAAAATATTGAATGATGTAGGAAGCATCAAAAGAAGATGGAAGGAATACACAGAATCACTGTGCCAAAAAGAACTGGTCAACATTCAAACATTTCAGGAGGTGTAGCATATGATCAAGAACCGATGGTATTGAAGGGAGAAGTCCAAGCTACACTGGAGGCATTGGCAAATAATGAGGCTTCAGGAATTAACAGAATTCCAGTTGAGATGTTTCAGCAAAGGGATGCAGCACTGAAGGTGCTCACTTCTCTATGCCAAGAAATTTGGAAGACAGCTGCCTGGCCAGCCGACTGGAAGAGATCCATATTTGTGCCCATTCCACAGATGACCCAACAGAATGCGGACATTATCGAACAGTACCTATCATAAATACCACACGCAAATAAAATTTTACTGAAGATCATTCAAAAATGGCTGCAGCAATACATCAACAGGGAACTGCCAGAAATTCAAGCTGGATTCGGAAGAGGATGTGGAACGAGGGATATCATTGCTGATGTCAGATGGACCTTGGCTGAAATCAGAGAATACCAGAAAGATGTTTACCTGTGGTTTATTGGCTATGCAAAGGCTTTAGACTGTGTGGATCATAACAAATTATGAATAACGTTATGAAGAGTGGGAATTCCAGAACACTTAATTGTGTTCATGTGGAATCTGTACATAGACCAAGAGGCAGTTGTGCGAACAGAACAAGTGGATGCTGCGTGATTTAAAATCAAAAAAGGTGTGTGTTAGGGTTGTATCCTTTCATCATACTTATTCAGTCTGCATGCTGAGCAAATGATTCGAGAAACTGGACTATATGAAGAAAAACACGGCATCAGGATTGGAGGAAGACTCATTAACAACCTGCGATATGCAGATGACACAACCTTTCTTGCTGCAAGTGAAGAGGACTTAAACATTTACTGACAAAGATCAAAGACCACAGCCTTCAGTATGGATTACACCTCAACATAAAGAAAACAAAATCCTCACAACTGGACCAATAAGCAACATCATGATAAATGGAGAAAAGATGGATGTTTTAAAGGATTTTATTTTTCTTGGATCCACAATCAATGCCCATGGAAGCAGCAGTCAGGAAATTAAACGACATATTGTATTGGGCAAATCTGCAGAAGACCTCTTTAAAACGTTAAAAAGCAAAAATGTCAGTTTGAGGACTAAGTTGCACCTGACCCAAACCATGATATTTTCAGTCACCTCATAGGTATTTGAAAGCTGGACAGTGAATAAAGGAGACTGAAGAAGAATTGATGACTTTGAATTATGGTGTTGGCGAAGAATATCGAATGTATCATGGACCACCAAAAGACCAAACAAGTCCATCTTGGAAGAAATACAGCCAGAGTGCTCCTTGGAAGCGAAGATGGCGAGACTTCGTCTGATGTACTTTGGACGTGTTATCAGGAGGGACCAGTCCCTGGTGAAGGACATCATGCTTGGTATAGTAGGGCGTCATGAAAAAAGAGAAGACCCTCAATGAGATGGATTGACACAGTGACTGCGATAGTGGGCTCGAACCTAGCAACAATTATGAGGATGGTGCAAGACCGAGCTGTGTTTCATTCTCTTGTACATAGAGTCACTATGAGTTGGGAGCAACTCAACGGCACCTAACAACAGCAGCAACAACCATGTATTTCTGACACCTACTTCTGATACTAAATGCAGGAAGTATTTCATCTGCATTTCCCTTCACCCTCATCTCAATCACTGTGAGCCATGCCCTTTGGTCATCCTTATGACTTGAGGTGGTGCCTAGACATGAGCTCCCAGAGGCTAGCAGGATCAACTCTTCATCAGCCACCCCTCTGTGTTCGTGTGGCTCCCACACTTGCGCCTACTGCTGCACTCTTTACATGGAAGAAATGCTCAGTTGCTAACCTCTGCGGTGAAGAGGACTTTTAGCATTAGGCCTTGGAGAAAGACTCCAAGTTGTAGAGTGAGTGGTGGGGAGTAGTACACCCCTGATTCCCAGCCACATCCTGGAAGGAGGAGGCTGCAGTAGGGCTGGAGGCCAGGTGACTGTTTTCGTCTTAGACCTTGAAACCTAGGCTTTGTCTGTATGCTGAGAGTTAGCTGACGATTGCAAACATGATTTCGGAGTTGATTTGGGAGAAATACATACGTGAAGCCTTTGCTTCTGCTGCCAGCAAAGCAGAACAGTGATTTAGGAAAAGCCTATGATTTGAAGGAATGTCTAGGTTTGAGTCCTGGCTCTTCTACCTTCCAGTTCTGTGGCCTTTAGCTGATCAATTGACCTTCCTGAACGTTGGGTCTATGATTGTCAGAAGGTCAGTCCCTACCCTTCCAAATTCACAAGAGGCTCAGAGAGTTGATCCGCACTCACTGTGCTGGCTGCTTTCCCTACGGGATGCTTAGCTGATTGCTTTATGAGGTTAGTTACTTCAGCCGGGAATGGAAGGTGCTTAGGTGACTATTCCTTCTGCTTCTCACCGCTGCAAATCATTTCTCTTTGTAGCTCTGGACTTACTGGATAAGATGTTGACTTTCAACCCACACAAGAGGATTGAAGTAGAACAGGCTCTGGCCCACCCATATCTGGAGCAGTATTACGACCCAAGTGATGAGGTAAGAGCTGTGTCCCGGCCACTTCTTTAGCAAAGTGAAGTGGCCCACCTGGGAGGGGCCGTAGTGTCATGCGTATGTTTTCCTGAGAGTGCATGGTACCACACCCTGCATTTATGGTCCTCCTAACAAGCCTGCATCTCACTTCCTCTGCCTTGAGGACTAGTGCTGTGAGTGCAGCAGAAACCTCTCCCTACCCCTCAAGCCCTTTCTGTCTATCTTAGAAAACTTCCTCCAGGTCACCTGCAGCAGGAGCTGGTGTCAGGGGAAATGTTGGAAAAGGGGAACACAGGGGAGGAGTCCAGGGAGACTGGAGATTGGTCATGGTCCATGGCAAAAAGAAACATCTGAACCTCAGCACAGGCCTTGATGGGTGAGAGGAGACCCAGTCGCTGCTGTGGTGGGGGTGGAGGCAAAGGTGTCCCAACGACCATAGCTTGGCCAGGCTCGTGTCTGGTGGTGCCGTCCCTGGAGAGAGCAGCACAGGAAGCCTGTTGTGGGTGAGAAGTGACAAGTCCAGATGTGGGTGTGGTGTATCTTCAGAGTATGTGGGACATCCAGATGAAGATGCTGCTGGTCAGTGGGCTTGCCAGGACAGCCCTGTTCCTTGGCGTATTGGCTTCTCTAGGGCTTCAGCTTTAACTTTGTTCTCTGGAGGACAATGAAGAAAAGGGCAACATGAACCTAAAATTTTGATGGTTGTAGTTGAAATTCATACACATAGACAATAAGCCTTCACATGCCTGTTTTAAAAAGAAGAGGTTGTTAAAATTAAGGAGGGAAATGAGAGAGGAAAGGAAAAACTAACCATGAAAGCTGATGAATGAAAGAGAAAGAAAGTGGAAATTAAGAAGAGGAGATATTTATTAGTCAGCATCCCCATGTGCCCCCATCACCATCCCCCCCAGAAACAATCATAGTAATGGGTGTAGGTGGGAGGACAAGCTTGGGCTTTTACCACCCTGTGAGCTGAAGGGTGTTCTAAGCCTCCATGTCCTGTCAGTGAGATGGGCAATGACTCGACCCAGTAGGTAGTGGGAGGGTTAAGAGAGGGGGAATGTGCAGGAGCCTAGGCCAGAGCGTCCTCCCTGAGGGCTGGCTGTGTGTCCTCACATGGGCATGAATACTCTCCCTTTCAAGTGGCCACAACTTTATAAAGCGTTTGCGTTGGAGTCCATTTTTCCTTCCGTGTGGGGAGAGTAGATCTGGGAGTGTCTGGGCATCATTAGACATTCACTAATTGACAGCTGTTATCATCGTTATTTCAGTTATATAACATTATATTAGTTTGTAGGCATTTAAAAATCAAAATATAAATGATATTAATGGGCTGATTAATTTCATTTTTTGTCATTGAGTATGTTCTTTGACATAAGTAGATATATACTTAAATACCTTTCTGATTATTCATAGAGTAAGTGTCTGGTGAAAAAAATAAATTTACAAAAAAAAAGATTGTTTTGTAATCTTGTTACACACTTATTAAAATTTTGGAGTATTTCCTTCTCAGTTATTCATTTCTATATCTAAATTTTAAAAGTAAAGTAGGGTTCACTCTATTTGATACAAACATGAGCATTTTCCCATGATACTAGTCTTCTTTGCATGATACTAATCTCATTTCTAATGGCTCCATAATATATCTTCATATAAAGATACTATAGTTTATTTAATCAAACACATTTATTTTAGTATCATGGGTTTTGATTGTACAGACTTACCTCACTCCATCAATTTCAGGCTAATTTCGTTATTTCAACATTCAGAGCCTTGAAACATTTGAAAATTTTTCTGGGATTTCTGGTAAGTTCTGAAGAACACCTGAAATGGATTCCGTTGCTCTGAGACCATTTCTGAAGCACTCATGAGAAACGTGGTTCAGGAGTGCAGGCATGTGCGTATTGTCGTCATCCTTTTCTCCTGGATGTCAGTCTTGTTATATAAATTCCAGGATGTAAGCTGTAGTCATTTTATGGATCAGGGAATTATTGTCCTAATCCTCACAGCGTTTGTCTGTTAAATGTTTTGTTTTCTCTTAAAGCCTATTGCTGAAGCACCATTCAAGTTTGACATGGAATTGGATGATTTGCCCAAGGAAAAACTCAAAGAACTCATTTTTGAAGAGACTGCAAGATTCCAGCCAGGATACAGATCTTAAATTTGTCAGGTACTTGGAGCTATCACCGTAGAGTCAACTTTAACAAGGGAGAGAGAATATAAATTAAATTATATTAAAAAGAAGAAAAAGGTCAGTGTATTCCTGTTTAGTGGAACCTGGCTTTAATAAGTACTGATTGCTTCATAATTTAATACTGGAGAAATTAGACTTTGTCTTTCACCAGCAGTTTGTATTTTGCTATGGATTACAGCGACATGACATTAAAGTGCAGTCTTCAGACTAATAACTACAGTGGGACTTTGGTGTTCAGTCATAGGTGACTTACTAAGACAGATTTTTGTGGAAATAGACTTCTGGAAACAAGTTTGAGATCTTCCTTAGTGAAAAATTTATTCTTTACTTCATACAACATTTTATTCAAAAATTTTAACATAATTTTTAGGGGCATAGGAATTTTTTTAAGCATTGAGAACCTAGAATTGTATTCGATAAATACCATAAGTTAAATGCGTACGTGGTAGTCAGGACAGAGAAATACTGATGTTAGGGATTGAAGAAGGAAAACAAGCCAAAGTGAAAAAAAAGGACAGTGAACATGAGAGAGAAGATCACCTAAGATTATACCAAGAAAATCTACAAAGAAAGGAGTAGGAAATTAAAAGGGCTAGTGTCACACCAAGACACATATTTTTATAACGTGACTTCAGGAGTGCAGTCCTAGTGTGTGAAGAGGATGTTTAACCCTTGTGTTTGCTGGGAAACACAGACATTTGATTGCCTTGCTCTCCCCAGGAGAAAGCCCCAGCCTCCTTTGCAGACGATGGGCATTTGGGCCTCAGAAACCCAGGGCCCTCTCCAGACGCTCCCAAGCACGGGCATGGCTACACAACTGATGCCATGTACAGTAGGTCCAGGCACTGTTCCCATTCAGACCAAGGATGTGGGCAAGCAAAGCTGGGACAACTTTGTCAGGAGGAGGCTGAGCCGCCACCATGGCAGAGGGACTGACAGGAGCCAGGGCAGAAGCTGTGCAAGCCTAGGGCATAAGGTGGAGTGGGAAATTTGACAATATTGGTAGATCAAAAAGGAAGCATTCAAAAAAAAAGTGCAGATCTTGACTTCAGTGGATGTATGGCAAGAGGAAGGAGAATAGGGTTTGCATCAGAACTCTAAAAATGAGCAGTGATGTAGAATTATGACACAAACTAAAGCAGTTGGTGGGAAACTACTTGGGCAGACCTGGCACGGAAGGAGCCAGAGGCTTCCTCGAACAGGCAGCAGTGTGTCGTGTGGGGTGTAGACGTGTAGCAGCCAGGCTGTGCCGAGGTGGTATTGGGACAGGAGGCAAGTGGGTGGAGTTAGGGTATTGCCCTGCAACAGCAGTCTGCAGGCATGCTCGTTTGGAAGTGTCTGTCAGCTCGACCCTGATTCCATTCTCTTCTGTCTTCTCATTATACATGGGATCTGGAGGCGATGGCTCAGGCTGAGGGGTGGTTCCTGGTTGACTATGTGTCAGCTAGTGTCCAGAGTGCACTCTAGGGGTTTCACACAGAGGCCACGGAATTCGTCAGAAAGTGGAGAAGGACTGGAGAGCAGAAAGGGGCAGTGGGTGACCTTCAGGTGGGTAACTGCAGGAGGTTGCCTCCCGTCTCCAGCTGAAGGAGCAAAGGGGAAAATGATGTGAGCCAAGTCCTTGATTACCACATAGCATGCTGGGGTGCCCTCTATCACCTAGTGAGGGGAGTCCAGGAGGACTGCCCCTGCTGTAGTAGCACCTGCTGCCACCATCGGGTGCTTCTTTAAACCCTTCTGCAAAGCCAGGCTCCTTCTGGAACCTATACCACGCGTGTCACAAAAGCAGAAACAGAAAAGAAACCTGACTTTTCCTACCAGTGCCTTCGTTGGCAGAATCCAACCAGAAGTCAGCTGCCGACAAAGCCAGCAGTGCAGTTTACAGGCTTCCCACTCCCTGTTATTAAGAAAAAGGACAAAGGAAGTGTGGAAAAGTCAATGACAGACAAGCCAGCCCAGCTTCCAGAGGGAAAGCAGTCCACAGACGGAACTGTGCATATATTCCATGTAAAACACATCTGGGCTTGACATCACTGTCAGTTTTTCATCCTTCATTTACTCAGCATTGAGCACTTCCTAATTCCAGGAACACAGGAAGCAAAGGTGAATTATCAAGAAATAGGAAAACCAGCAACGGGTGTGGTGCAGTGTTCCTAGTGCTAGGCCAGAGGTGGGTGCAGGTCACAGCAGGCCCCCAGGGAGGAGGGGCCGGCTCTGTGTTGTAAGGGCTAAGGGCTGCAGAGTGCTGGGCAGGACTTGGAGGAAGCAGTGGGGACTTTCAGTTGAATCTTGAGAACAAGTGGATATTTGCTGATGGGTAAAGGGGTGCGCAGCTATGGGGAACCCGGGAGAGCCTGGGTCTAAGGAGGCCTGAAAGCAGCTGAGCCACAGGACCACATCCAGGCCTTAGTAAGAAGCCCAGGCCTCTCGTGTATCGGATTAGGTTGCTCTGGTGGCACTAAGGATGTGGGAGACTCTGGGAGCAGGGGCCATGGAGGGCAGGGGGAAACTAGACAATCCAAAGGGCACCCATGAGGTGACCCCTGGAGTCAGTGTAATCAGGCAGGGACAAAAATCTCTCCCAAGGCCTATCCAGTTCTGAGGCTCCAGGGTTGAGGGATCATCCCCAGTGGAGAGGTGTAGCACAGACCATCACCTCTGGTTTTCAGTTCCTCATTTCGGGGACATGCAAGGCACACAGTGCTCAGCATGTGCTTGTAGACTGGGTTTCCCAACATTCTTTAAATGACACTGTTCAACTATTCTGAAATCGAAAGACTTTTACAGTGGACACTCACACTCCTACCACCTGGATTCTACACTTAACGTTTTATTATACCTGCTTCCTCGCATATCTAATTTCATCATCTAGCCATCAGTGCATCTTTTTTTTTTTCTCTTTTCATGCATTTCAAAGTAAGTTGCCAACATCCAGACTGACTTTTATAATTTAATCATGTAGAATATAAGTGAGTCCAGGAAGGTGGGGCAGGGATCCAGCTTCTTCCACAAGTATTTCATTCTCTGAAATCAGTACACTTCCCATTTTTATGATCAAGGGAAGGGAAGATTCAAGTATGTGAGCAATGTGCACAAGATTATGCAACATTAGCAGCACAACTAGTGAGAGAATCCAGGTCTTTTAAACCCAGAATTCTTATCTCGCCACACGGCCTCTGACTAGATTTACTGCTTAGGAAAGGTCTAGGGACTAATTCAGAGTCATACAGAGCATTGTTACTGAGTTCCAGCTACAACAAAGAGATTAAAACAGACCGAAAAAACAGTTGCCGTCAAGTGGACGCCAACTCATGGTGACCCCACATGTGCAGAGTAGAATCCTCCATAGGGTTTTCATGGCTGTGATGTTTCAGAAGCAGATCCTCAGACCTTTCTTCCAAGGCTTTTCTGGGTGGGTTCAAACTGCCAGCCTTTCGTTTAGTAGCCAGTGCTTAACTGTTTACACCACCCAGGGACTTCCGACAGAGAGATTAGAAACTACAGATTGAAGTGCCTGGGCTGTGTAGGTGTTGTAATCCATGGGAACAGTCTAGAAAGCTTAGCTACAGTACGAAAGAACTGGAAAACACACACTCACATGGTCCTTTGGAACATGGCCACAGGGCCCTTTGGTGGAGGGCAGCAAAGCTTCTTCTTTCCCTTGGTTTCATTGACGATGAAAGCATTTTAGGACATCTTCCATTTCCTGCCTGCTGACCATGGTCAGCCCACTGGATGGAGGCCATTTCCCCTCGGAGAGCCCCACCTCCATATCCCACCGTTGGGCCATGACACCTGTCCTCCTCCTTGGACTGTTGAATGGTAAACGGACCAGAGGTCTCAGAGGGCTTAGTGACCTATCCGAATGGCATTCTGCCAAGTCATCGTCTCAGCAAACATCTCACACCAGCATGGGTCCTCAGAGGGCAGGGACAGTGCTGTTTGTCTGCACTTTGAGGCATTCAGTTACCCAGCCAGCCTGTCTCAACTGGGCTTCCTCGTCAGAACCACGGAACCGAGAGCATGGTGTGAGTGGCTACTTTTTCACTTCTCCCCAGGATGGTGCAACACTAGTACAGGTCTAGAGAGGTAAGACAGCAGTCATTCACTGCATACAGTGCATGCCTTACAGCAGTGGCCTGGCTGCCCTACCTTCCAGGGGGTGCTGATACTTGAGTGTGAGAACCACTCACCTGCAAGCAGTTAGAGTTGATTTGGCTTGATACACAGTTTTTCCGTATGAAAATCAAGACCAGTAGGAGAATAAAGGGAAAGTGTGCTGCTTGTACTGGATGGTCACCCCCGTGGGCCCTGCAGCCACATGCAGACGTGGAGAATCAGGTGGACCCCTTCCAGGTGCAGAAAGTGAGTGCAGGCCAGTGGCAGCTTGCTGCCTTCCTGTGCACTGGCTTGAGGCCCAACAGGAAAGTTGTTGTCAGGTCACCTGGGACCTGGGTGATCAGAGCCATCTCTTTCCCCCAGGGATGACACTGGGGCCCCTGCCTTCCCAGAATCCCCCACTGGTCTCACTTCCAGCCAGGACCTTGTTTTGCTTATTATGCTTTGTTCCATAGAGAAAACTTAAGCATCATTAACAGCATTCCCTCCACTGCCTGTGAAGTCCATGTTGTCCCACCTGGTCATCCAGAGAGGAGACTTGCTAGAATAGGAGGAGGCAGAGGGTGCTTCTGTATGTAGGTATATTATTCACCTTACAAAGACCCTCAGACTATGGTTTTGACCACTGGAGTGGTCGATATCATATAGTTCACAAAAGGCATCTCAGGAACCTTGAAGCTGGCCCAGCTCTGTGTGTGTGTGTGTGTGTGTGTGTGTGTGTGTGTGTGTGTGTGTGTGTGTG